GTTCAGCTCTTCCTTCAGCTCCCCTCCCCCTCCCTCTCCTCACCTGGCCTGAGCTGACCTTGGGAGCCAGAACCAGGAGTGGGGTGCCGAGGCCTGGACACCGCTGCTGCAGGGTGCCTGGAAGAGAAACAAAACTGAAACTAATTGTACTTGTGCAACTTCCGTCCCAGCCCCGGGACACCGACTCGTACAGCCTCAGGCCCCGCCTTCTTCCCCACCCCGCCTGGCCCTCTTCCTGGGGCGGGGGCACCCCCATCAGAGCTCGGCCCCCTCCAGGAGGCTCCAGGGGCGCCCAGTCCGTTGTAGCCTCTGGACTCGCTCAGCCAGCCGAGCATGTCTGTGGCAAACGCATCGCCTGCGGACTCGTCCTCTTGAGAGAAAAATCAGAGGTCGTCTGTAATTCAGACCCCGGTCCTCAGGCCGGGTTTCCAGCGCTGCAGCTTATCTGCAAACCCAGCCCTAGGGGAGGCCCTTGGTGCCGGGACCTTCCGCTGGGCTGTGGGAACCAGATAAGTAGCCTCCACCTGAGGGGCTCAGCAAAGGCTTCCTGGAGGAGGCGTTACTTGAGATGAGTTTGAAGAGTGAACTGGGGCTTGCGGTTCGCTGGAGAAGAATATAGGGGAAAGTGTTGGGGATCAGGAACGGCAAGTATGTGGACACAGGAATGAAATAGCACAACTCTCCAGGCTGACTCTAAGTAACTATCCAGGGTGGGAAGGGGACGTGAGTGGTGGCAGCTGAGGTTATAGAAGGAGGCAGCATGGCCAGATCACAAAGGGCCTTATGAGCTACGTGAAGGAGTCTTGAGTTTCATCCAAAAAGCCAAAAGAAATCACAGAAGGATATTTTCCCCAACATCTTATGAAAATTTTGAAGCACAAAGACGTTGGAAGAATTGCAACGAACACTCACATACCCACCACTTCAGTTCCGCAGTTAACATTTTACCATAGTTGAATCATCATAAATCTATCCCTGTAGTACCCCTTTATCCAGAATGACAGGATTTCAGCAGGAAACCCAAATGGTGAGAGCTCACTCCGGCAGCAGTCTAGAGAACAGAGGGGAGCCTGACTGCAGGATCCAGGTGAAAAGTGTGTGTGGGAGGGGACGGTGTCTGAGCTGACCCAGAGGCGATAGGGACAGAGGGGACCGTGGAGGATGGAAGCCGCACATGTGAATTATTGTTGAAGGCAAAAGAAGCCATGGGACTGGTGATCGGCCCTGGGAGGGAGGCGAAGGTAAGAGGGCAGAATGCCCCTCAGGTTTGGCAGGTGTAGAGGTCAGGAGGGAGGGCTAGGCTGGCGATACCCAGGCTGGTGACTTTCCCACACATTTCCAATGTGTATCTGTGGTTCTGAGAAAGTTACTCAACAGTGTCCAAAGCTAGAAGAACAGGGCTGAGAGAGCATTTTGGGCAACACAGACATTTAAGGGCAAGTGGGGAGGGGCTGGAGCTTGAAGGAGTCAGAGAAGTAGTTGCCAGAGGCGTAGGTGGAGAACCAAGAGAAAGGCCACAGAAGTCATAGCTGGAGAACGATCGGTGCTGTGGAACGCTACAAACCAGATGGGCAGTCAAGATGCTACCAACCAGATGGCACACCAAGAAAAATGTGCTGGTGTACCTGTGCCCTAAGTGTATGCGTACACCGCACATGTGTGTGGCCTACGTGTGTGCTTGTGCACATTCAGGAACAATCTGTTGAAAGCCTGTTGTGGACAGTGTGCCAGGCACTGTGGAATATACGAAGATAAGCAAGATACGTTCCCTGCCCACAGGGAGCTTACAGTCTAACAGGGGAGGTGAAATGAGTACATGGTGCAATATGACAGTAAGACAAATGTCAGTTACAGTGTCAAAATAATCACCACAATGGCTTCCTTTTATTGGGTATTTAGCATGAGCTTGACATGGGCTGTTGTAAACATAACCTGATTTAATCCTCACAATAACCTGGTGAGATAAGTATCATTATTGCTTTCATTTTACAGGTGAGAGAACTGAGTTAGAGAGAGAAAAGTGATTCAGTTGAGGCCATATAAAGTGCTTATGACAGCCCAGAAGAGGGAGAATTTGATTTTTCCTGGAATGGTAATAATGGGGTAAAAATCAGGAAGGCTTCTTGAAAGAGGAGACATTACAGTGGCTGTCCTACACTGCCTCCCTTGACATTGAACAATTGCTTAAAGTGTCTACAGTGTGTGACCAGGCCCTGAGATGATAGTTTCTCTACACTGAGAAAAGCCTCCTAAATAAAGTGATAATTCAACTACAGCCAGCTGATAAGCATTACCATGGAGACATGTGCAGGGGAGGAGGAATTGGGGGTAGGGTAGAGATAGTTGCTGCATGCTAAGGGCACCTCTAGACGACTCTTTGGGAAGGTGGTTGGTCTGATAGGACTGGAATGCAGTTGGGTGGGGGGTAGTGTCAGGAAATGGAAGTTGAGCAGGCAGAACAAACTAAAGTTTTCTGTTTAGTATCCTATAAGGCCTTAAGGTAATGGGGAGCCATTATAGGATTTGGGAAATTAGGACTTTGTTCTGCAAGTACTTGGAGATGTTGGGACTGGGACTGTGAGCAAAGATTTTTAATCTTAATTTATAGAAATAATAAGGACAATCTAAAATAATTTTAAAATACATATCATCATTGTAACAAAATATTTTTTCAGTGTTTATTTCAGTTGTTCACTGTCCATATGAAATATATTTTACATAATTGTACTTATAGTGTACATATACTTTTTGCTACTTAATGACTTAATGTTACATCAACATTTTCTGTTTCTACATAGTCTTCATAGTTATTGTTAATGCCTGCATAATTATGTACCATAATTTACTTAACTAGTTAGTAATATGCTGGTAAGCCAGCTTCCCCCATTACCATTTTCCATGATGTAAATAGGGTATAAATTTTCACACCAGGGCTGATTTCTTGCTACCAATGATTTAACAGCCAGCTGCAAAATCCCTGAAATTTAACAATGGCTTCTCAGGAGCCAGTGCTTTTGGGAAGCTTTTAAAATCTTCTCTTTGTCCCCAAAGTTCTGAATTTCACAGTGAGTACATCGGCTAGGCATTTAGTGGGCTCTTTCACTCGGAAACAGTTTCCCTTTGGAGCTGGGAAATTTTCCTGAAGTTCTTTGTAGATGATCTTCTCCCCTCTGTTTTCTCTTCTGTAACTTCCATCATTCAGATGTTGTATCTCTTAAATGAGTCGTCTAATTTTATTTTTTCTGTTATTTTCCATTTCTTTCTCTTTTCGACTTAAACCTTCTAACCCTTCTACTGAGTTTTCCAAATCTGCTGTCATTGTTCTAATTCATGTGTTCCCTTTTTTGCATTTGACGTTTACTGTGGAATCAATATCCTCTCCTATATCTGAGGATATGAATGATAGTATTATATTTGTGGTTTTAGTTTTCTTCGCCTTGTATAGTTTGTTACCTCCAAGTTGTTTTTCCTCCCTCCCTCCCTTTCTCCCTTTTTAGGTGACTGTGATATTTATTATTTTGTATTTTAAAATTAATATAAAAACAAGGAGATTGACATTGGAATAATACTATTAACTAGACTGCGGGTCTTATTCATATTTCACCAGTTTTCACATGCACTCAAGTATGTGCGTTCCACATAGTTCTATGCAATTTTATCACAAGTATAGATGTGTGTAATCACCGCTATGATCATGTTACCAAACTGTCCCATCAACACAAAGAAACTTCCTCCCTCCATCAACCCATTGCAGCCACCGATCTGTTCGCCATCTCCATAATTTTGTTATTTGATGTTATATAAATGGAATCATAAAGCACGAAATTTAGAGACTGGCTTTTTTCACTTACTGTTCTCGAGATCCATCCAAGTTGTTGCATATATATCAATAGTTCGTTTCTTTTTATTGCCGAGTAGTATTCTATTAAGTGCTCCGTAGTTTATCCATTCTCCCATTGGAAGACATTCAGATTGTTTCTAGTTTTTGGTTATTACAAATATAACTACTATGAACATTTGTATACAGGTTTTTGTGTGAACCTAAGTCCTCACATCTCTGGAATAAATGCTCAGAAGCATGATTGCTTGGTCTTGTGGTTAGTGTATGTTTTTATTTATTTTTCAGTCCTCATCCGAGGATATTTTTTCCATTGCTTTTCAGAGAGAGTGGGAGAGAGAGAGAGAGAGAGAGAAACATCGATGTGAGAGAGACACATCAATTGGTTGTTTCCCAGAGGAGCCCTGACTGGGGGCCAGGGATCGGGCCTGCAACCGAGGTCGTGCCCTTGGCCAGAGCCCGAGACGCTGCAGTCCAAGGGCCGACGCTCTAAGCACTAAAGCAAACTGGCCAGGGCCGTGTATGTTTAGTTTTACAGGGAACTGCCAAAACATTTTCCTGAGTGGCTGTACCACTTTACCTTCCCACTAGGGACGTATGAGAGATCCATTTTCTCCACATCATCATCAGCATTTAGCATTGTCAGATTTTAAAATTTTAGTTGTTCTAATAGGTCTGATATTTCATCATGGTTTTAGTTGGCATTGTCCTAATAGCTAATGATATTGAATATATTTTCACACGCTGATCTTCCATCCATCTATCTGGTGAAGTGTCTGTTCTTTTGCCAGTTTTTAATTGGATTTTTAAAATTACTGATGAGTTTTAAGAATTCTTTATATATTCTGTATAAGTCATTTGCCAGATTTGGGATTTGCAAACATTTTCTCCCAACCTGTACCTTATATTTTCATTCTAATAACAATGTGTGTTGGCAGGGCAAACATTTTTAATTTTGATTAATCCAGTTTATCAATATATTCTTTTATGGTTTATGCTTTGGTGTCATGTCTAAGAAATCTTTGTATTACTCAAGGTCACAGTGATTTTCTTCTATGTTTTCTTCCAGAAGTTTTATAGCTTTAATACTGACGTTTAGGTCTGTGATCCATTTTGAGTTAATTTTTGTATATATTTTGAGGTAATGTTTGTTTGTTTGCATATGGATGTCTCATTGTTCCAACCACAATTTTTCTGAAAAAAACATATTTTTCTCCTTGAATTATTTTAGCATCTTTGTCAAAAAGCAGTTGACAGTAAATGTGTTTATTTCTGAGTTTCCTATCCTATTCCATTGTTCTACATGTCTATCCTTATGCCAGTGCCACACTGTCATGATTACTGTAACTTCACAAAAACTTTGAAGTCAGGTAGAGTTCTCAATATTTGTTTTTTTTCAAAACTATTTTGGTTATTCTAGGTCCTTTGCATTTCCAAATAAAGTTTAGAATCAAAATTATTTAAAAAGCTTCTGGGATTTTCATAGATATTTCATTGACTCCATAGATCAATTTAAAAATAATTACCATCTTAATAATACTGAGTCTTTTAATTTATGAACATAGTATATATCTCTTCATTTACAGGGTAGGACAA